GAACCTTGCCGAAGACTTACCGGCTTCACATGTTTAGAAACACTTCATGTTTCTTTCTTTGCATTATACACTGTTCTTCACACACACACACCGCCACCCCCAGAAAGAAATAATACCCAACGTACTTTCCAGTTTGGGAAAGTAATTCTACACTAAAGTCCCGTATCATTCTTGTTTTTCTCCTTTGTGGGATAAACAGGGTTAGACTTTTAACTGACTTCTGCAGAATCACACAGGAAGGAAGAATAGAGCAAGTCAGTGTTTCCTTTTCCCTATATCACAGTCTTTTCACAGTAAAAAATGCTGATTTTAAGTATGTATTTTGACTCTGGCGGGTACAATGGAGAGTTTACCTACTGTTTTGTGGTTTTTTTTTTTTTTTTTGCCACTTTTGATTACAGGATGATGTGGGCTGCTGGCGCAGTAGCAGCCATGTCTAGCATTACCTTTCCAGCTGTCAGTGCACTTGTTTCACGAACTGCTGATGCTGATCAACAAGGTGAGCTGATAGGAATCAATGATGTTTAAACACAAAGCACATAACACTTTCCTAAGTATTGAAACATAAGTGTATCTCCAGGTAAAGAATTTTTAAATTATTATTTTTTAAAGAGTTATTTATTTATGCAAGAGCTGGGGTACAGACCAGAGGCGCGGGAGGGTGAGAGGATTCACCAGAGACAGAGCGGGGAGCAGAACAGGCAGACTGACCAAAATACACTGCTGAGGGGAGCAGCGGGCAAGACAGGAGAGGTCTGACACTCCATGTGGGAATCTCCCTGGCCGGCTGGGAATCAAACCTGCGCTGCAGAGGCTGCGGACAGCTTCACAGTGCTGCATTCAACGACTGCTGCGCCACCAGGGAGGCCCTAAATCATTATTGTAAAGAAGAAAAGTAGATTCTGGGGCCTCCCTGGTAGCCTAGGGCTTAAGTCTCAGAGCTGTCACTGCTAGGGCCTGAGTTCAATCCCTGGCCAGGGAGCTAACCCATACATGGTGCAGCAGACTCTCATGCCTCACCTGCTGTTCCCCATAGCTGTGTATTTCAGTAGATCTGCCTGTTCTGCTGCCCACTCTTTCTTTGGTGAATCCTCTCACACAGCTGTACTTCTGGCCCACACCCCAGATGGCTATGCAAAAATAAATAAAAAATACAAAATATTTTTAAGAAAGAAAAGCAGATTCTAGGGTGTTAGCCTTAGGTGGATGTATATATATATAGTAGTGTCTGTCACTGCATGTGTGGCACTAGGTGATCTTTTGCTAAAAAATCATTTAGCAGTGAAAGTTGGTTACCTTTTGGTCTACTAACCAATTAAAAGAGTTTGCTATGATGTCGGAGATACACTCAATCCTTCCAGTAAAATCTGGCTTTCAGTTATCTAAACACATGGCAGATGTTAGTGTCTTAAATTTTTGTGGTGGGACATTTACATAATGGAATGATAACAGATGAAGAGTAATTCCTTGAAAAAGATGTTTTATCTAGTTATAAGGAAATGTGGTGTTTCAAAAAAGAATGGCAATATCCACTTGGTGGATAAAGAAAGAAAAACCTTTGGCCAAAACCAGTTGCACTTTAAATTTGAGAGAAGATCCTGGAGATAAACAGAAGTCAAACTCTATAAAAAGGGTCTATATTTGACTAGATTTTTTTTTTTAAGATTTATTTTATTTATGCATACAAGAGCTTGAGTGTAGGCCAGAGGTGCGGGGTGGGGTAATGAGAGGATTCACCAGAGACAGAGTGGGAAGCAGAACGGGCAAATTGACTGAAAAAACACTGCTGAGGGGAGCAGTGGGTGAGAGGCCTGCTGCACCATGTGGGTCAGCTCTCTGGCTGGGAATTGAACTTGTGCTACAGTGGCTGCCAATTAGCTTCATAGTGCTGAGATTTAACCCCTCGTGCCACCAGGGAGGCCCCTGGCTAGGTGGTCTTAAGTAGCTGTTAAGTTGATGTTTTTAATAATTCTACTTGTGAACTCATACCTGATTTTCAGCCAGCTGACTTAAATGGAAGAAAAATGCTTCTACCTACCTATTTCTACATTAGCTGCCTGAGCTCACATTTGCAAACAGGTTATTACACTTTATCCAATTGCATCACAGTAATCACTAGTGTCTGATAAGTGATTTCATGTTTGTAGTGGTTCTAGTGTAGGAAAAAATGTAAGTGGTACTAAGTGGTCATTTGTTTATAAACAATTTAGGTGTCGTTCAAGGAATGATAACAGGAATTAGAGGATTGTGCAATGGTCTGGGACCAGCTCTTTATGGATTCATTTTCTACATATTCCATGTGGAACTTAAAGAACTGCCAATGACTGGTACAGACTTGGGAACAAACACAAGTCCTCAGCACCACTTTGAACAGGTAATTCTTCATTCACATCATAAAAGTACAGTTCATTTGGCTGGATTGGAAGACATTATTTTAGATTTAATAAAACACTTAAAAAACAAAGCCTAAGGGACTGTGTTTCATATACTTCTTTGTGAAGTTGGCTGTCATTACCTTTTTCCCCTTGAGAATTAAAATTTAAATGTTCTAGTTTGTCATATTATACCTTATGGCATAAGGAACCACCATCTGCTTGTACCACATCTTTCATCTGAGCCTTGTAATGTCTATATAAAGTCTGTTTTCTGTGTGATAGTCAGTTAGGTGCTGAGTAAACATCTTTGCTCACTTATTTGCCATACTTCCCTCCTATAACTGAAAACACTAATGGCAAAAAAAAAAAGTGATTGTAGCCAATACAAATAGCTCCTCAGTTCCCTTATCTGGTAAAATTCTACACTAATCCTCCAACCAGCCAAGACTACATTTAGATAAAAAAGAATAGGTTGTACACAAGTAGAACTGGCAGTGCAAGTTTTTGAAATGAATGTAATTTTGGACTCAAGCAGGGATTGTCTTATGGAACAATATCTTACTTTCAGTCACGAGAAAAGATAGTTCCCTTTTTAAACAAGGAAAATAGTCATTGATTCTGTTAGTGTAGTGAACGCTTATACCCCTTGATTGTACTTTTGAAATCCTCCTCTTGAACTATTATTAAGACTCAGAATGTGTTCAGGCTTTATGCTTAAGCGACTGTTGATGCTCAAGCTGTTTTTTTTTTTTTTTTTTTTTTTTAATAGAGGCATACTTTATTTATTTGTTAGCTGGTTTGTTTGTTTGTTTTGTTTATACATGCACTGGGTACAGTCAGAAGCGCGGGAGGGTGAGAGAATTCACCAGAGCCAGAGCGGGGAGCAGAGCAGGCAGAAGGACCGAAGTACACTGCTGAGGGGAGCAGCGGGCGGCAGGAGAGGTCTGCGCGCCATGTGGGACCCTCCTCCGGTGGCCGGGGAGCAGCCGGGGATCGAACCGGCGCCACAGAGGCCGCGGGCAGCTTCGCAACCCAGCGCTCAATCGCTGCGCCACCGGGGAGGCCCTCAAGCTGTTTTTAAAAATATCTTTTAGTTGGGTCAGTTACTACCTCATCGCTGTGTACTGGGTCTGCAGTGCCCTTGCCTCCTGAAAAGGGGGTACTTTTTCGCATTGGCCTTAATGAACTTCAGCTGCTTGTAATGCGGACCACTCAGTCACTGCTACAAGTTTAGCCGTTTCTCCGGGGAGCCAAGATGTGCGCGCAAAAGACCTGATTATTTTTTTCTTTCTCAGAATTCCATCATCCCCGGCCCCCCCTTCCTCTTTGGAGCCTGTTCAGTCCTGCTGGCTCTGCTTGTTGCCTTGTTTATTCCGGAACACACCAATTTAAGCTTAAGGTCCAGCAGCTGGCGAAAGCACTGTGGCAGCCACAGCCATCCTCACAGTACACAAGCGCCGGGAGAGGCCAAAGAACCTTTACTCCAGGACACAAATGTGTGACGCCCGGAATCAGGAAGACTTTTCTATCAGCACCCAGGTCTTAGTTTTCACCTGTAGTTCTGGACGTACATTCCATGTCCATCTGCAATGTACTTTAAGACTGTCTCAAGAAATGTATCTGCATGAACTCCGTGGGAACTAAAGAAAGAACTGGACAGTTTTCCAAAGATGTTACAATTTCTTTTGAAAAGAAACCTTTTGTTTATTAGCATCAATTCTTGCCACTAAGCTGTTTGTTTTATTATACATCCTTTAATTAAAAACTATATATGTAACTTCTTAGATACTAGCAATGTTTCTGCTACCATTTCCTTCAGGTGTTGAGCTTTAACTATTTATGCTGACGCAGTGAGACAGAGAGCAGGTAGTATGGTTGCGGACCAGTTCATTTTAACATTTTAAAATCTTGAGTCGCATTTTAATGTTGTGAAATCTTGGGTCAAATAATTCAAAGCCTTAATGCAGATGCTCTAAAGTAAAGAAATGGTAAAGGCATTGTTTGGATTAAAAAAAAATTGTAAGAAAACTGTACTAAATCTGAATCATGTTTCAAGCTTATTTGTAGTTATTTTATTTTAAACATTATTCACTACTATTTTTAAAATGAGAAATTATCAGCCATTTAGAATTTTAAATTGGGGTCTGTAGAGCCTGTAAATGTTTAAGTGCTGGCTCAAATTTGTTCCCCAGCTACTTATACCACTATTCTTTTAATGTTTGCATAATCATTAGAACCTCAACACTTGAATACATAATCTAAAAATTATATAGTAAAGCTGGTAGCCTTGAAAATGTCAATGTGATATCTATATGTAGATAAATATATATAGTGGCCTTTCAGGACTGTCACAGTAACACTTTATTTACAAAGCTAATGTTTGTCCTAAATTTTCAGGACCCTAGAAGAGAGCTTTATACAATTACTGATGTGAATTTCTCTAAAGTGTATATTTTTGTGTCCAGTTATATTATTTAAAAAGTGTTACTTTGTAAAAATTGTACATAAAGTATTGTATAGTTTACACTGTTTTCATCTTGTGTGTGGTTATTGCTTAATGCTTTTTAAACTTGGAACACTCACTATGGTTAAATAAGGTCTTAAAAGAACTGTAAATATTCTGTTAATAAAATTAAATATTTTAATGATTTTTTTTAAAGAAAGTCTTGATCTTTGACTCCCGATAGGGCCTATTTGGCTTTGTTTGTTACCATAATTTTTGTAGTAACAAAATGTTATACCTTCTTCACTCTGAATCCATTTCTTTTCCCTCACTATAAAATATGCTTAACTGGAAGTTAACTGGAAATGAATTTTTTAAGCATAAACGTCTGTCAGTCCTACTTCTGTTTTTTTATGTATTTTTTCACATTGTCATCACTCCCCAAATATTAATACTTTATTAACAAAGCTCACACAGTTTACAGAAATACATTAAGTGAACATTTTGATTATTGACACATGTACAATTTTACACTGCAAAACAATTTCAAATAAGTTTAAGAGGTAGAGCAAAGAATTTACACTCAAGTCTATATACATTTAATATCAAAAAACCCTTCAATTTGATATAAAAATATTTCTATCCTATCTTTTAGAAATTCTCCCAACTTTCCATGGAAAAGGGTATCTTATTTTTTTAAAAAAGAGCCATCTGTATGTCAAAAAACCAAACCCCCATCACTATTTTATACATATTACAAGTATTTACAAGAAAGCAGATTTTAATATCAACAAGTTTCTTTCAGGTTATAATTAAGTGCTTTCAAGTTATTATAACTGAGTATCTTTACTAATATAGTTTGAACAAAGAACTACATAGAAACAGTGCATAATTACAGTTATTAAACTTTAGATTACATACCTAGTTTCAGACAGCTTGCAAGTGCAAGTATCATAAGACTCAAGATGATGACTTCATTAAAAACTAAGCAGAGTCTGTCATACCATGGAATGCAATAAAGCATGGTATGTCACTAGTATCTATCTTGCAATGTCTTTCCTTGTAAATAATTTTTTAACAGGTCACAAGCATTAGCAATCTTTGCAAACAAAAACTGATGTAAGAGATATAAGCAAAAGCTCTTTTGGGATGTTTGTCAAGAAAAAATGGGGCCCTATGATTCTGAGTGAATTTTTTAGTCAATGTTTTCCAAGTAACAATTCTTAATTGAAACTTTTAGTAATATGGAAGAGGAGTTGTAATTTCTAAGTTACTCATTTTTGCCTACTTTATTAATAAGCAAACAATCTGATACAAAGAAAACAATACAAGGAATATTCATGATGCTCACAGGAAAGACTATAGTACTCATTTTTCAAATAAATTTTCACTAATACAGATTTAGGTGCATAAAAAACTAGTAAAACTCCAAATGAAAGAGAAAAATGGGATAAGTATAGACTGACTTCTAAGTCATTAAAATCCTTAAACTTTGTAGGTGAAATGACTAAAGCATTTTATACTAAATCTAATCATATATATACACTGAATAATTTTTACAATAAATTTAGCAAACAATAACAGCTAAAGGTTCCAAGAAAAATATTTCCATGCTATTAAGGATTGATTAATTCATTCATTTAGGTAATTTTAGGACTTTCCCCTTTACGCAGTAATTAATGTAAACATCTTAGGAGATAATCATCTTCCCACATAATTCTCAGGTGGTAAATTTAAAACATTTTGCCTATGATATTTTCATTCTTTGGTGTCATATATTACATGTGAGCAGGTTTTAATTTACCCAGATATTCATTCAATATGATCACAATATACCTTATAAAGATCATCTTTCCTTAGAACTTTTAATCCTTTTTAAGGATTAGTTTAATAACATTCATACCATTATTTTACAAAACACCATAATCACAAACTAAACTCATTTACTCAGAATCTCCAATCCCCACGTACAAATTTGCTCCTCTCAACTGTCTGCCATAAACAGCAGCATACTTATAGGATCAAACGATCTAATAGAGCAGCTTAAGTAAACTCTGGAACTTGCTTAACATTTGATATAGTTAACATATTTAAAGCACCCAAGTTTATAAAATTTAGATAAACAGTGAAGTATGACACTAGGGTTAACTGTTTGGTAACTGCCCTGGGAAATAGGCTGAAGACGTGGAAGGGAGGACCGCTGGTTTTGAAGATGTCTGCAATGCTCCTAACGTGCCTTCTTTTTGATGATCTACACATGAGGACAAAAAAAGGTCATTTGCCTTCCCTTAACCTTTTATATGTACATTTAATCAAACCACAGTGAACAATCCATTTCGGAAATATCTTCTCACCTTGGTTATTGAATAGATTTTGGCTGAGCCCTCGTAAAGGAATGCTATCTTCCCTTTTTTTCAAATATTTGGATTCCAGCCCCAAATTTTCACCACTTAAAAAGAAAAAAGTAACTATTTTAAACAAGACTGACTTTAGTAGTTAATTTTATATATACTATGCATAAGATAACAAATATTTATAGCTTTATTCAAATTATATTCTTTATTGGTTTCTAAGCAAATAATTTATACATACTTAAGCCAATATGCCCTTCCCAGTAAATTATAATTTAAAAAACCCTAAAAATTCTAAGAGTTGGGATAAGCAATGTGTGGGAAATGAAGATCATTATTAATAATTTCTATCTCATCTGTTTAAAATGATTTCAACAAAAACTTCTCAAAATTTTGTAGTGCTTTAAAGTCATTTTTTAAACACTAATAACTAGCTAACAAGTAACAGCACCAGTTCTCAAAATTCTAATTTTATGGACATGATTATGCTTGATTTTTTTTTTTTTAAAGATTTATTATTTTTATTTATACAAGCACTGGGTACAGTCAGAAGCGCAGGAGGGTGAGAGAATTCACCAGAGCCAGAGCGGGAAGCAGAGCAGGCAGAAGGACCAAAGTACACTGCTGAGGGGAGCAGCGGGCCGCAGGAGAGGTCTGCGCGCCATGTGGGACCCTCCTCCAGTGGCTGGGGAGCAGCCGGGGATTGAACCGGTGCTGCAGAGGCTGCGGGAAGCTTCAGAACCCAGCGCTCAACCTCTGCGCCACCGGGGAGGCCCCTTATGCTTGATTTTGTACCACAAATATGATCTTCATATTTTCTGTATGTATCAATGGAATTGCTCTTGGTATGTATGATATAGTTAAATATATAAACATACGGTGTTGTACCATTAATGTGAATTCCAGTTGCTCTGCCTCTTAAACTGTGAAGTTAAATATAACAAATAAGTACATCTTAAGACTTCAAGGAATTCTGACCTTTTATAAAAGGGAGGCTCACAAATATTAACTATCTTAAAATCCATCTTGGTCCCAATTTTAGATGAGCCATTGAATTAAGGCCAGAGAGGTGGGGTAAGATTGCAATGTAAGCGATAACTGAGAAAAATGGAGTGCATCAAGACAAGTCATATATGAAAACAAAAATGCTGATGATTAGGAATTAGAAAGAGTTCTATCTACCAGCAACTTAAAATGTCAGATAAAGGAGTACGCATCATAGAAAGTACCGGTAATTCTTGCTAAGATGACTCAAAATTGTAAACATTAAATTTTAGGTCAATAAGTACTTACTTCTCCTTATCAGTGGAACATGGCATACTAACAGCTGTTCCTGACTGAATATCGCCTACTGATGTATTTGGCTTCGTAAATTGCAAGTTAAACTGAACCTGTGAAGAGGGAAAACAGCTCATATAAACAAATTAGTGATAACATAGTTCTATATGGAGATATATGTGGCTACATTTGTTTTCTGATAAATCTAGACCACAGAAGTACAAGTTCAACTTATAATTCTTAACACAAACACATTTGAGAACACTTAATAAAAAGAAAACTATTTCTCCTTGCCAAAAAAGTTCCTGTCATCCAAGGAAGAATGTGAATCAACTACAAACATGCACTAGGGGACATTTTGGGGAAACATAGATGCTTGAAAATTGGACCATTTTTTGATGGTTCTACAACTGTATTGATTACAAGTAAGTATTGAAAAGTAGAAACTTAATGATGGGAGAATTTTATGGAATGTAAAACATGCCTTAGTAAAGTTTTAAATTAAAAAAAAAAAAAAAAAAAAGCACCCCAGAAAGTAAAAAGACAAAGTAGGGAAGGAAAAAATAAGTTAATCTATAACAAAGCTGTCTAGTGTCCAGAATATATAAAGAAAACATCATTTTATAAGGGTTAAGTATCCCAAACAAAAAAAAATGATTAAAAGGAATGACCAAAAATTTTATAAGAGAAAACAAAGAAATACTAATTAGCAATCAGTACCAGATAGCAAAAATGTTTTTGATTCAGTTACTTTTAAGAATTTATCATATGGGCCTCCCTGGTGGTGCAGCAGGTTGAGTGCTGCGCTGTGAAGCTGTCCACAGCCTCTGCAGTGAGGGTTCAATTCCTGGCTGGCCAGGGAGATGCCCACATGATGTGGCAGACCTCTCCTTTTGTGAATCCTTTCACCCTCCCGTGTCTCTGGCCTGTACCCCCATTCTTGTATAAATAAATAAATCTTAAAAAAAAGGAAAATATTAAAAAAAAAATTATCATCTAAATCTATTGTACAAGGCCACAAAGATAGTTGCTAAAGCATGAATACCTAGATTGAAAACAACCTAATCATTAACAGAGCACTAGTTTAATTAATCCCAGTATATTTATATACAGAAATACTTAGCAGTTATTTTAAAAAAAACGAAAAACTTACATTCTGATATATGGAAATGGACCTACTCATAATAACTTTTTTTTTAAAGATTTATTTATTTACGCATATAAGAACTGGGGTATAGGCCAGAGGTATGAGGTGTGAGAGGATTCACCAGAGACAGAGTGGGGAACAGAACAGGCAGATTGACTGAAATACACTGCTGAGAGGAGCTGCGGGCAAGTCAGGAGAAGTCCACTGCGCCATGTGAGTAGCTCCCTGGCCAGGGATCAAATCGTGCTCCAGTGGCTGCAGATGGCTTCATAGTTTGCATTTTAACCCCTTGCGCCACCACAGAGGCCCCCTCATAATAATATTAAATGAAAAAAGCAAGGCATAGAACAGTGGGCATGTATTATTTATGCTTCTTTTTTTTTTTTTCAAAGATTTTATTTATTTTGTGTAGAAGAACTGGTGTCTAGGCCAGCGCTATGGAGCTATTGGCAGCCACTGCAGCAGGTGTTCAATCTCTAGCCAGGGAGCTGACCCACATGGCACAGCAGACCTCTACTGTCTCGCCTGGGACAGCCCAAAACTAATTTGACAGAGTTCGTAACAGCAGTTTTAAAGTCCTCAGTTCTGTATTTTGTAAAATATAGTCTTTTCAAAGCATTTGTCTCCATGATACAGGAAAAAAATCAATTTGTGTATCTGAAGTTTGGAATGAAAAAAAAAAATCATTAGCTGGGTTGAGTGGATCAAATTCTGAAAATAAAATTTTAACACATCTGAGAAGAATGTATAAACCTAAAGCAGTAGCAATAATGATGATGTTTAGGAACTCAGGAGAACAGAAAAAGTCTTAGCAAATGAATCAAGGATTGGAAGGATGACTAAGCATATGCAATTTGAGAAAATGTTGCCAAAACTTCAGAATTTGCTATCAGTCTCTCCAACCAGACCTTTAAATCTTGGCAATGTAGTCCAGAACTGTCACTACAGCTAAGAAACTATCAGTATGAAAGTGGTGATCCTAGTTAAGTTTGATAATTGTAGGAGATATAATAATGAATAAAAAAGGAAGAGCATGAATAGGAACAAATAAAGTTTAAGTAGACTGATGTCCAGATTTTTACATAGTGATTTAGATTTATCACATACTGCATATAGTATTTTCCTTAAGAATATATACCAAATATTCAGTAATATATAATCTATTACTTAATTAACAACTGAACTAAAAATAAATGAATTTTAAGAAACACATACAACTTTTAAAAAATTATCATTTAACTTGGATACCTTTGGTCCCGAAATTGGATGGATGGTGTTTTTGGCAGATAGAGGATGAGGAAAGGAATTTTGGAATGCAAATGCAGATGAGACAGGATAACCAACCCCACAAGTAGGGTAAACCAGTCTACCATCAACCTAAAATGAAAACACAAAAATGGTTAAGGATGAGAAATTAGTGCTAAACAGCAGTGGCTGACCCAAGAGAGATTAACATCGGTTATAAAAATTTATAGTTAAGACCACTATCAGAGGCCAATTTTGTTTCTCATAACAACAAAAAACTTGGCCTAGAAGGCTTTTCAGATTGTCTGTGCAAGCTCAAACAAACCACTGGACCTGCCTTGGAATTTGAATTAAAACAAAGATCTCTCAATCGTGTCAGTACCCTGTTGGCCTCTCATTCCTGAAAAGGGTCGAAGAGGCAGGTGGAGTCACAGATCAATCAAAAACAAAACAAAAATTATTTTCTGCCAGATTGTCTAAATAAAAACAAGATCAGTGTTCTTCAGTGGACTGAGACAATAATTTGCATGATTACTAGTTTTCCATATAGTAACACCACAATTAACCAAGGTTAGGAGAACAGTTAACTTTTATAAGCAGGTAGTGGAAACACAAACCTTAAAAAGCAATTATGTTTATCAGTGGCTTTATGGCAAAAATACCTTTCACACATTTATCATCAATCAAGGTTAAGCCTGTCAAGTGTTTTCAAGTTTGCAAACACTTCTTTTCACACTTCTGTGCAATTCAGCAGAAATTCTTTCCCTTCTATAAACACCAAGTACTGTCTGATTTACCAGGCGTAAACTAAAAATTCAATTGGGCACTTGACTTTTAAATCCTCTGCCAATGGACTCCAGAAACATGAGTATATATGTTGGGTCAATAACCACCAGAAACATGGGTTTATATGTTGGGTTTGTATTTCCTCTTGCAATGAGGGAAGCTGAACACCACATGAAATCATGAGGTATTTTAGTAAGAGGTATTAAAAGGGACTAGTTTATTGGACTTAGGCATGGGTTAGAGGATTTAAGGGACAGTTTAGGAAAGCTGGGCTTTGCTATGAATCAGATGCCATCAAGAAATAAGGTAAGTGTATGATGAACATCTGAATATATCTCATCTATGAAGGCAGGAGGAACGTATTAAGGCCAAAACTAATTGGTAATGAAGCAGCAGTCAATTATGTTGGCCAGAATAAGAGGATATTTGCCCAATTTTGTGGTTTGTGGCAATGCTCATATTTCTGTGTGTTCAGACTTGATTATTAGAGTGGTCTTTTTCAGTCTTGACCCATCATGTCAGCCACATCTGATACCGACATTCTGTGAAATGGTTTGTTCCTGTCACACCTAGGCCCATCTCACGGTACTTAGTCAGCTGCCAAGCACACGGAGCTACTTTTTTTTCCCTTGCATCTTATTTCCTATAAGGAAAAAGGAAGAGACCTGATGCTGGGAGCTAGAAAGGTTACAAACCAGTTTTTCCTAGAATCTAGAACTGACAATTCTGGCAAGAAAGCTTTTCTCTTTTTTCTTTTTTTTTTTTTTACAGAATTCCATTTAGGTGCCTCCATTAGAGTTCCAAATTTGAGTCCAAGCCCTCTTCTCCCTTCTCAAGGCCTTCCAGATACTTGTACATGTACACACATCTGTCTGTGCATGAGTGTATGCATGTGTCTGGAAGTTTTTCAGCACATTCGGCATTATTTTAGTTAATACTGATTTTTATATCCACTAAAATCTTACAAAGAAATGTGCCCTTAACAGACAGCCTCTTTAAGAGCAAGTATAACTTTATGTCTCACTTCCAAGTACAACTTAAACTACTTGAGTGCAGTTAATGGTAGGACTCCAACCACACCAGTACCAGCACCTGTCGTGGAGACTTTCTAACAATCTGGGATTATTTTTTGTCTGAGGAAATTTACTAAGAGTAGTCACATGTTAATTTGAATCTTACCACATTAGTGTTAGGAGAAATTCCACTTCTGATTATGTTGCTACTAGTATGTACAGGTGGAGTGGCAGAAGATCCCAATACATCTTGCTTTCTCACTAGTTGATTTTCATTTAGTTCTTTATTTAACCATGTGATTACTTAAATATAAAGAACAAGAAAGAAGGTAAATTTTTTATTAAACTTTTTAATTTTGTAATCATTTTAAACATTAAAAACCAATAGTGCAATTTTTAAGTTTTTAAAACTACCTTATGTCACATGAAAATATAGGTTCATTCAAATTTTGTCATTATTGTTTCTAATCTTAGCAACTGCCATATAGAACTCCTTTTTCTAGTACTATCAGAAACATATTTGTGCTAGTCAACAATCTCTTTAAAGGTTTTTTCCCTCTACAATGATACCTTACAGTTTATTTGAAATTCACACTCATATCTGAATACCAATACTAGACACAGAAAATATTAGTTACAGGATTAATCTTCTATTTCAGTTCCAAATAATTCATATTATTACTATCAGGTAAACAGAGAAATTAAAAATGAAAGAAAAATTTAAAAAATATAGTGAATACTTTTTATACTTTTAATTTTGGGTTATTGATACATGTGATATGGTTTTCTTCATAATGATGTTTTATTTATTTAATTTTATTTTAAGATTTATTGATTTATTTATACAAGCACTGAGTACAGTCAGAAGCGCAGGAAGGTGAGAGAATTCACCAGAGCCAGAGCGGGAAGCAGAACAGGCAGAATGACGAAGTACACTGCTGAGGAGAGCAGAGGGCGCAGCAGGAGAGGTCTGCGTGCTAAGTGGGACTCTCGCCGGTGGCCGGGGATCAAACCGGCGCTGCAGAGGCTGCGGGCAGCTTTGCAGCCCAGTGCTCAACCGCTGTGCCACAGGGGAGGCCCATGATGATGTTTTATAAGGTAGATAATAATTTACTAAAGCAAAACCATTAAAACAGTATATTTCAAGCAGAATTATCTGCATATAGCAATATATGAATTCAAATAAAATTTTCAGCTTAAGGATAAAAGTACTTCATTTAAATAAAAGATAAGATACTTACACTTTTCATTATTTTTTAGAAGCTGTTTGCTTTCTTCAAGTTTTTGAACTGTAGCTTCTAACTGTTCTTGTAATTTGCATACCTGAAATGTCAATCCACACAGTAATTATAATAAAGGCAAAAATAAAAACTGAAGAAATAGCTTACTATTAATAGCTGATTATCTTAATAATTATTAAAGAATAAAGGATATTATTAGCTCACCCACATAATAAAATGTGTGTAGACCTACACTATATATACTCAACTTATTTGAGTCATAATTTTACAAACAAAAATAGGTTATCTTTTGAATCTAATCACGTTCTTTTGAAAAACAAAAATCAATGAGGAAATTTGTTATTATCTTGGAAACAATCTCACATAAACAAACAAAAAATTACCTCCTGCTCTTTAATTAGGAGCGACTGTCCAACATCTTGTAATTCTTTTTGTTCCTTTTGTAATTTTTCTTCCTTCTCAGCCAAGAGTTTTTCTTGTTGAATAGTAACTGTATTTTTTAATTTTAGTTTACCCATTAAAGTTTTCAGATCCCCTTGTAACTTCTTGATAATTTCATTTGCCTGTAAAAGAGCTTCATATGTGTATCTTCACAAACTCTAATCAAATGTTTACTTTCTATTAAGTTTTTAAAAACAAACCTTAAGAAGTTCTGTTGACAATGATTTTATTGTGGCTTCAAGTTTTCCCAGTTGTACCTGATTTTTCTCACCATTTTCTTCTAAAGCCACCTGGTATATAGTTTTTAAAAAATGAACAATTAGAGAATTTATGTTTGTTTAGGAAAAAAAACATTGTTTATAAATGTGATCATCAATTTGTTTAGAAAATTTTAAAGCAGACCTTTTGTTCCTGGATTGTATCAAATGCTTCTTTTGTTCTTAAAACAAGCTGGTCCTTATCCTTGATTTCCTGTTCTAAAACAGCCACTTTTGTTTGTAGCTGATTAATATGCTTTTCTTTTTCATGGCATTCAGCGTCTAGGGTGGAATTCTCTCTTCGCAAAGAGAGGACTTCTTGCTTAGTTCGCTGAAGCTCCTAAAGGAGGGAGGAAAATGATACACCATGAAAAAGGGAATTAGTTTAGTTTGATTATTTATAATTAAGATGTTTAAAATATAAAAGCTCTTTTAAATAATTTTAAAATTCTAGTACTGACTTTTTTAAATGTTTATGAAAGTCTCTAGAAGTATATAAACCTTGTAGATTTGGAATATAACTGTAAATACACTAAATCTAATTCAATCATTCTAAGAAAAATTAAAACAATTCTGATTTATGAATAAGTTACAATAACTTTTAAAACTAGCAACATAATTTTCCAATGTCATGAAATTTACATTTTAAAATGTCACTTAATATGTAATAAATGCTCATTATATAAAAGAATTACAAAATATATAAAAATAGGTTAAAAGCCCTATCATCTAAATAGAGCTTCTCAGCTAGTTTGCATGGTGAAATCACCTGAGCGGCTTTCACAACTACTGATGCCTGGTACTATGGCCCCAAATTCTGATTTAGTGAGACCTATGGACTGTGCTGTCGGACATTTATGAGTCTTCAACTGGTTCTAAGAGTAGCCAAGGGTGAGAGTCATGCTCCAGAGTTGACATTTTTTTCCCTATGTCACCTATGTAGAGATTTATTTTTTTAAAGAGCCCACATTGTGCAGTTTTTAATCTACCTTATTCATATATAGTGCAAGTATCTTCCCAACTCAACATATATGTAAATATTTTTGGATTCCCTTTTGGTGCGTTCTTTAAAGCAAAATCAAGACAACATATTGTTAATTAAAACTAAACTTAAAAAAATCTAGACTATATTATTTCCCAACCAGCTAATACTAACTCAAATGACACCAATACACAAAAATTGAGTGTACAGTATTACTAGATAATTTTCATTTTTAACAAAAACTTTACAGAATAATTTTATAATTATGCCAAAATGGTTTTAGAAGTAAAGACTTTGGTATTAGACAAACTCAAATACAAATCCCTGCTCGTCTTTGCGGTCTTGGGAATTAACTTACCTAAATTTAAGTTCCCTCATTTGCCTAACAGAAGAGATAAACACTTTACAAAATATTTCATTTAATCTTCACAAAAACCCTTATGTAAATTGCTTAGCATATTGCGTGGCATATAACATTCAATAAATAGTAGCAATTACTATTTCTAGAGCACTAGTGCCTAAAAGGCATAATTTAATGTAATTAGAAGAAATTAGCATAATTAGAACACAATTAGAATATGTAAAAATCAACATCATGAAGCAGTCTTTACACACGGAACAGTTTCAGGACTAAGAACTCAGACAGCACTATTATGAAATATTTAAACTATACAATGAAAATATTTAAACTACACTATGAAAAATGAAGTGTTTTACAAACTGGTGTGAAAGGCGAAGAGGAGGAACAAGTGAAGGCAACTATTATTTGGCAGAGGGACACCACCTACATAAATAATAAAGTAATGAAATGAAAATGTTCTTTCAAATGCGGAGGGGAAGGGATGTGTGAATCAAATACAATATTCAATACCTCTTCAACACCAGACAGTTTTGCTTTCAGTTCTCTGATGGTGGAGTCTCCTTTGTATTTCCTCTCAGTTAAGTCTTTATTAGCAGTTTCTAACTCAGACAATCTGTTTTGTAGCTGCTGGATATTTCGTTGATGGAGTGTTTCTAAATCTTTTTTCTGTTGTTCATGCTGTTGCTGGTGTTGGACCTGTGCCTATATATATTAAAAATTTAGTATGAAAATTTAAAGAGAAAAATTCAAAATATGGAAAGATGAAGAAAAAAATAATCTTGATTACTTGTCCTTAACATTAATTATTAGATATTCCTGTTTTGAAGAGGGTCACGTCAATTATGAAAGGAAAAAGTAAGGTCAATAAAGGCAAATTTACCACTATGCTCTTGTTCATAATATCTACTTCTAAACCTACATATGTTTAGAAGTAAGTCTCTTAAGGGAAGAATGATATATGATTAAGTAAAAAATGACATAAAATATATATGGGTTCATACCATATGAACCTATTTGTGCAAAATGAAAAAAGAGTGGCTACCTAAGGGAACTTTCAGTATTTGTTTGAAACACCATTATATACTTTCAGTTTTTTACAATCAGTGTACATATTTTAGAAAGAAAAAAAAAATCTGGACTTACAAAACCAGCAAGGTATTGTCCATTAGTTTAGTCTTATAGCTTGTATATTTGGAACATACAAATAATACTGTATGTTTCTATTTATATGAAGTTCCAGAACAAGCAAATTAATCAATGATGACAGAAGCCAGAAGATCGATAACCTCTTATGAGATGTATGATGTAGACTGGTAAGACACACAAGACAACCTAAGAGGGTGGTATAATTTCTGAATTTTAATTTGATAGTTAATATTAAAGAAGCTTTGATATAAAAGTAAAGGAACCCACCCTACAAAGCAGTTGAAAATGACAGTCACTCAGAAAAAGCAAGAAAAGATATTAAGAAATAATCCAGAAGAAATGAAAATAACGAGTCAGACTCTGGTGAATTCTCTACCCTCCTGCGCTTCTGACTGTACCCAGTGCTTGTATATATAAATAAATAAATCTTAAAAAAAAAAAAAAAAAATAGCCAGTCATATTAAAAAACGCTTATCTTCACTAAAAAGCTAAGGAATAAATTAAATCCAATTCTCCCTTAACACCTCACAAGTAGCAAATATTAAAAGGTTAGCAACAATATACAGATTCCACTTCATACAGTCTCTTTGGGTGGCAAATTTACAATATCCATCAGTAATTTATATGGGTATATTGCAATCTTACTTCTAGGAAGAGAGACTGCTCATTGCTCTACTGTCCGCAGTAACCAAAATTCTGAGGCATTTAAATGTCCATGAATTGGGTAAGTAGTTAAATAATTTATATCCAAATAATGAATGCTATGCCATCATTAAGAAAAATGGCAAAAGAATGTTATTTGTCGTCACGTTAGGGGTAAAAAAAGTTACAATCAATATATACAGTAGGCCCTCATCAGCATATAGTGAAATACAAGACCTCAATAACATAAAATATGAAACCCGCTACATGTAAGCATATATGTGTAATTATGTATAATTCACACCTCAAATTATAAATGCAAATGCTATAAATAATATATTATTTACATAGAGAAAAATCTATATATAGAAAAAACATCAAAATGTGTATTGGTTATTGATGGGTAGTAAACCTTTAAAGGACAGTTTTTTAATTTTATACACTTCTGTAACATTTGAAAATTTTAAAGCAAATAGTGGATCATCGGAAAAGCCATGACATATTTTTCCTGTTTTTCAGGCAAAAATGCGTATGACTTTTCCGACAACCTTATATTACTTTTACAATTAATAAAATATCTAAATGCAGTAACAATATAGTTTTCCAGCTTCTTCTAATGCTCATACCTGCAAAGCTTTTTCCTTCTCACTTGTCAGTTCCTGAGAATGCTTACTTGACAATGCTGCTGTGTGTGCTGCCCATTCATTCCGCAGCTTATCTAATTCTTGGATTTTTTCTGATAATGTCTGTATTAGAATTCAATACAAAATATTAAGACAGTCTCTTGAATATGTAATTAGAGTAGAACACAGCAATATTTACAATGATATTAAAGAAAATGGAATCCCAGTTTTACAAGATATAGTCAAAGCTTTTCCTTCAGATTTTTTTGTATTTGAGGAAATTTGATTAAAATAAAAGTAATTTTTATTGCCAATAGGTCAAGCTTAACTACCTTTATTTAACCTTTTACCTAAATCTGGCTCTTTAGCAACTTGGGCATTAAGAAGTAAAGCAATCCAGGGTGGTATAAATCAGTTATGGAGTAGTTCACTTATACACATAAAATCTAGTAACACACGTTCCCAAGATGGGCCACGTAATGCCCGAGTATTTATTGCCTTAAGTAATGCAATTTATCAGATACCTTGATCCTTAATTTCAAGGACTAGGGGCAAGAGGGTGATAGCTATGACAAAAATGATGATTAAGCCTAAGAGAGGAATTCATTCTAAACATAACCTAAGGAAGCAATAGGTTTTAAAAGATGAAAAGCCATTTTTGACAAGAGAAATAAGGTGAATAAAAGAAGAAAGAACTAACTTGTGACAGATACTATATCTTATTTACTGAAGAATTGGCAGGAACATGTCATACACTGGATAACTGAATTGTTTGGATGGAATAAAATACCTAGGCAAGAGGCAGATTAAAATAATTATCTGGTAGCGCAAGGGAAAAGGAATTCAATGGCAGTATGCTTGAAAAAAAGAAAACATAAAAGCTTGAATTTGATTCAAGAAGCAGTTCAGAGCCAAAGTTTGGATGACTTACAAAGACATTCAATGAAATATGAATTACCTTTTGTGTGAAATTCAGTTGCCTAGTAACATCATCCAGAGATTGCGTCAATGATAATTTTTCTTCCTATTTATAAAAATAATAAAATTATGATGTTTATAATTTAAACATCTGTAGCTATGCTACTCAAAGTGTAGCAAAGTATGACATCAGCATCACCCTGGAAGTTGTTAGAAATGCAGAATATCAGATTCTACCTCAGGTCTTCTGAGTAAGAATCTGCACTAACAATATTCCTAAAAGATTTGTGTACCATTAAATTTTGAGATACACTGATCTCAATGCACTGATACATTTGACTAAAAAGATTTTGAAAACTCTTACAGGGCATCCCAATGTTGTTTCCTTGTGTTCTATGCCTTTTATAGTTAGACAGCATTTTGTAATTTTCAAGACATTTTCACTTATTTTATCTCACTTCAGATAGGAAAGAGATATTTATTTCCACTCATTTCTACCAACTGATTAAACCATGACTCCAAGAGTTTAGGAGACCTGGCCAAGGTCACAGAAAAATAGAAAAACCCCCCAGACTTAAGTTTCTCAATTCCTAGTCCAGTTCTATCCTCACTGTACCTTAATTAAATAAAAATCATTTAATGCACACAATTGTCATTAAAATTTATGAATGTATTTATAAAAACTTAGAAGACAAAAAACCCTTGATACTTATTTAAAAATAAATAAAATTTAAATCTTACCTTGCTACATTTTAAACAGCCTGCTAGAAATTTCTTTATTTCCACATCATTTCCAGGTAAAAGTTTTAGTGAGAGGTGTGTAAGATGCTTAAAAGGATTCGTCTCTACCACATTTAAAAAAGCTGGTGAGTTATCCAAAACGGTTGCTGGAGACACTAATTGTAGCAAAAATCTTTGGAAAGAAAGTATCACGTTTTAATACATTTATGATAGTGAAACTCTCCCATTGAACACTGAGCCCCTTAGAAGTATCAACAAAGATGGCAAGTTGGCATCCCAGAGGTCAACATAAAAAGAGTCTTGATGGCAAAACAGGATAAACTAACGTAAATGATAAAATGGATAAATTGGGCAGGAAAAAAATTAAAAGGACCGATTGGAACACAGAAAATAATCCCCATGAGTTCATGTGAGACAAATAAGAGAAAGCAAAAAAACTGAAAGCAAAAACAAACCAAAAACTGAAGCCATGAAAGTAACTGGAGTAACAACTCTCATTCCAAAAATACATAATATAAAAGTTAGAATTGGACCTTCTTGGTGGCGCAAGAGGTTAAGCACCACACTATGAAGCAATCCACAGCCTCTGCAGCATGAGTTCAATACCCAACCAGCCAGGGAGCAACCTACATGGTGGGGCAGACCTCTCCTGTCTCGCCCGCAGCTCCCCTCAGCAGTGTATTTCAGTCACTGCCTGTTCTATTCCCCACTCTGTCTCTGGTGAATCCTCTCACCCCTCACATCTCTGGCCTGTACCCCAATTCTTGTATGCATAAATAAATAAATCTTTTTTTTTTTTTTAAAGATTTATTTATTTATTTATACAAGCACTGGGTACAGTCAGAAGTGCAGGAGGGTGAGAGAATTCACCAGAGCCAGAGCGGGGAGCAGAGCAGGCAGAAGGACCGAAGGACACTGCTGAGGGGAGCAGCGGGCGGCAGGAGAGGTCTGCGCGCCATGTGGGACCCTCTCCAGCAGCCGGGGATCGAACCAGCGCTGTAGAGGCTGCGGGCAGATTCGCAGCCCAGCGCTCAGCCACTGCGCCACCGGGGAGGCCCTAAATAAATAAATCTTAAAAAAATAAATAACAAAATAAAAGTTAGAATTTTAAAAAGTTAGCACTTATCCTTTTTTGTATGAATTTTCAGGGTAATAAAACAGCCCTAATTGATGAAAGTTCTTCTCTATAGAAGAATTATACCTAATAAAGAATAACAGAAAAATGCACAATTTTTTAATTCCTAATGAAATCATTGATTCAAACAACAATCATTAATTGATACAACCAACAGATAAAAGATTGATGAATTTTACAATGAAGGATCAGGCACTAGGACCACAAGAAAATAAATACACACACACACATACACACACAATATTTTCTTCTGTTTTAACAAGTTAATTATAAGAAGATTTCATGCTTTTTTTTTTTTAACAATTTTTTTTAAAGATTTATTTATGCACACAAGAGCTGGGTACAGGCCAGAGATACAGGAGGTGAGAGGATTCAGCAGAGACAGAGCGAGGAACAGAAGAGGCAGATCAACTGAAGTACACTGCTGAGGGGAGCAGCAGGCGAGTCAGGAGAGGTCTGCTGCACCATGTGGGTTGCTCCCTGGTTGGCCGGGGATGGAACTTGTACTGCAGAGGCTGCGGATTGCTTCATAGTGCGGTGCTTAACCCCTTGCATCACCAGGGAGGCCCCTTTTTTCATGCTGTTTTCGAGTAACTTGTGAAAAGTCTTTGTCAAGATATTAAAAAAATTAAGGTCTAATGTATTTCTGATTTTAATCATGATTTCTTAAAATGTGAGATTTAACAGAGCCCTAATTCCAATTTCTGAAGTAGACAGGGGTACTTACAGAAAATATGTTCCTATCAAGTTGTCTATCAAAGAGTTTGTCTTTAGAGATGTTTAAAGATACAGCGTTCTCATGAGACTTACCTTGGAATTTCTTTGGCTTGTTCTTGAGTACACTGCTGAAGGAGATCAATAAATTTCTGGGGGAAAGCTAAGAAGTCTACAAGAAGACCTTGCTGGAATTTTAAACTACATGGAAGACAGGGGAAAAAAATTTTTTTTTAAATGTAGTTAGTATCTTCAATTATAATTAATCCCTGAAAATCTTTTTTTTTAATTTACTGAATACCCACTATAATCAAGAACTAAGTAAGGAGCTTTGATTTTTATAGCATTTATTCAAAGGTAGGGGGGAAAAGTCAATAAATTAAGTTAAAGCTCAAAATTTCTGACTTGTGTTAAGCAAAAACCTGGTAATGCATGAATGCTTCAAAACGTCCTGAGTAGTTATAGGATAGTGTTCCCCAAAATACTTAAATGTTCCCATTAGGTATGTGCGTCAAAGAGAACAGTACCATATATTCATAAAATCTAGAAAGTTACTTATTCCTAGATTAAAGATAATAGAAAAAAATTAGTTACCTCTGAAAGTCTTCCTCAGATATAACAAGGTTATACAGAAAAAATGGGTCAGTATCATCAGTCAGACGAATAATTAGATCCTAAAAGAAAGACAGTTATTTTTTTTCCAATACATCTGGCTTTTAGAGTAATTTCTTCCTTCCTGCAAGTGACATTTTCCAACAACATCAATGAATCACCATTATCCTTCAGATGCCTTTGTTTTTTGATGTTGCTGGGTTTCCATTTGTCCTGGAAACCTAGAATATTAAATAGGATAAATATTCTGCTCCTTGAGAGCTGCATTGGGGGGGTATCTATAAAAATTAATTCAATTTCAAAAGATGAAAGTTTAGTAATATCATCCTACCAGTGGCTTCGGAATATTTAGACCTCGTCTTCATTGCACTAAGATACTAGGACAAAAATATTCTTCACCACTGACCATATTCAATTATATTTTCAGTTTCCTTCAAGTAACTGTCTGGCATTTTAAAAGTGGCTAATACGCCAACAGAAACAATCAACCATCCACCCCAGGAAAAAAAGGAACATTTGGCTCTCAGGCAGAGGACGGGTATCAGGTGTCATGTTGCCAAGGCTTCTTCGCAAGGACCTATTTTCTGCTATTCCAAGTGGCCTCTGAAATGGAACCCCATCTGTTTTCAGTTTCAAATGAATTAGGTACTTTTCATAAAGACCACTTTACTGGAAAATTTAAAATGTGGCAGATCATGACTGTAGGTAAAGCAGACAAAAAAGCCCACAGATGTGGGTGTTCTTCAGAAAACCTTGGTAGGTGTAAGGAAAACAGGTATAGACCTATGACGGGGGACTAATAAAGAAGAATACATTTGCATTTTGAAATAAAATTTACTTGTGGCTACTGAGGAACTGCTAGGATCCTAGAAAAACTTCCATCATTTATGATTAGAGCTATATATAAACTATACAGCAGGCATAAGGAATAACAGGTAAAAAGTATAATATATAATCTCTATCCCGGAAAATGAACAATCTGGATATTTGCTGTGTTTCAGAATGCCTGCTTTTAAAGCAGCTTCTATTTAAGTACTTCTTGAAATCCACCCAAAGTTCTAAAAGCCAAAAAAATCTGGAGCTGATACTAGCAGGTCCTTGAATATGTTTATGAACAGCTTTGACAGAAAAAATAGATGCTGTAGTTCTTATCCCTCTATTTTGTATTCACCTCTGTTAATAACCCATACTTATGAAAATCATATAGAACAAATGTTTTAAATGTCTCCCTTCAAAAGGCAAAGCAAAAAGATTCAAGAATATCTCCATGCAATGCTCCCACTCATTCTTGTCTCACGTTGCCACCATGAAATGTCAATTCTGTAGAATAGGAATATATATTTTAGCAACTTATATATGCATTGGACAGACCTAAAAAAACTGTTCTCCCAATCGCTAATTCATCCTATATATTTTTGAAATATATGGTATAATAATCTCAGCAGATTCTATCATCGTAAGTTTGCAAATTACATAATGGCCCAAAATGGAAAAGCAAGATGGGTGTAATAAAAGGTATTACATTCTTAAAAATGAAAAAGTTATGTCCAACATATAGAAATTATCAAAGGTCAAAAAAGAAATAAATACCAACCTTTCTGTGAACTGGACTTGAAACTGATTGTAGTTCAATGCTCACTCTAACACTTACTCTCCTGTATAAAAAGATATGCCCAACTATCAGAAATGTTCACATAAAAAGAGTTATCACTGTCATCGGTATTAACTAAAGTTTCCTATCTTAAGCCACAAGATCTTCCATAGGTATCACCCCAAACATGAGCAGATATCTAGAGAGCACACTGGTTTGCTGTAAAATGGGTTTGTTGTAAGGATTAAATGAGATATATGATGTGGAATGCCTAGTACTAGCCTGGTATAAATGTTACTGCCCTGATTCTAAAATAGCATCTACTGAAAGACAAACTGTTAATCTAAATAACAACTTTGCAAATTAAAAATTACCATTTCAAATGATCATTTTGATTTGAATGTTTAGAAATCAGGAAATAATATTCCCTATCCTTATGCATAGACAATTTTTTTTCAGATCCATAAACTTCATCTGTTCAATATAACCACAGAAATAATGCCAACAAATTTATCATCTATTTCAGAGTAACTCTAAATCCTAAAAGGAGAAACCATGACTTTCCACATTCTATACTGCATCTTAGAGAATCCGGTTATCAGAGAGAGGTATGTAAATTAAGGTGCCCATAAACACTATTAATAAATTGGACAAAAATGTTTAAATAATATAGGAATAAAGGTCAAAATCAGTTTTTTAAAAAAATTTCTGCCCAAGTGGTTCTCAAATGATTTTATTAGATGTGTTATTACCTGATGTGCAGGGAAAGAAAAAATAGAATTTGTTCAATTTTAAGTTATCCCTCTGAAAATGTGTTTTAAACCTTTCCTACATTCTACAACTTATAGAGTTAAAAGTGTAAACACAGTAAGTAAATGTTAATGGAAAACTCAGTAGTAGGTGAATAAAGGTAAATTGAACTATCTAGACTTCATACCTATAATTTTATATTAATCTAAAATGTGTCAGTTTAAATTTCTTATTGAACATATGATAATGGATGTTAAATCAGTTTGTATAATGCCACAACCTGTACCAGTTATCTGAAAAGAGACAAGCAGTGCTGATGAATAACACAAAGAGAGGAAGAATTATCTTTAAAATGAGAATGTTTTATTTCTATTTTTCTAATAGTAGAGCAATATGTGTGAGACAGATTAGAGTTTTACTCCAAATTCACTTAAATTAAGCATATTTAGGAGGCAAAACTTTCCATTTGTAATATAAGAGGACTAAGTTAGGTTTGTGAGGACCTTTTTCTGCTCAACAATCTCTTTATTTTTGGTTTTTATCTTTGGATGATTTCAAGTACATGATTTCCATAATGGAGTGACATTAAAGTTGATAAGTAACTTTGATTAGTAATTTATAGTTTTAAAAAAGTCCTATCATACTTGATAAATTTGTAAAAAAAATTCAAGTGTCTATTTAATAAGTTTTTTATATGATACTTGAAGAGTTATATTAACATAAATTTCCAATCATATTAATAATATTGTTGCATATATTCTATGTGTCTGTACACATTAGATGTTCAGAAGAAAAAAAAAATACTCCCCATGTTTACTTCAAAAGCCCTGTGTAAAAATATCCTGTAAAAAGATAAGAGTCTTCAGAGTATATGGTATCTGAAATCTTATTTTTTCTGTTGTAATGCTCAATGTCATAGAACACTATAAAACAAATAAAAACTCAATAAAAAGTTTTATTTCTCAAAACACATGCCATACTATGAACAATGTGTAAATCTATACAACATCCTATCAGTTAGATTTGGCACTAGCAGAACTGGATTCTAGCCTACCTCTGCCACCTGGTAGCTGTGATCTGAAACTCTCAAGTCAAACAAATAAGCTACTCTAAGCCAGGTAATGTGCTGGGTGCTAGGGATACAAACAGAAATAAACATGATCCATGTCCTCAAATCGAGATCAGATTAAATGACTTTACCCCAGATTTGCTTCTGATTGTATTTTGGTGTTACAACAGGGGGAGGGAAGTATGTACTGAGTACATAGATGAGACTTTATATGTATCATCTGATTTAACAGAGAAACTTAAGTAAATATTATCTCTGCCATAGAAGGAAGAACCTGGCTTAGAGTTACAGACTTATTGAAGGACACATTGCAGGTCCATTCAGAAAATAACAAGTAGATTGGGATAAGCAGCCTAGGAAATAAATGAAAAGCAGCAGGTAGGTAGGTGTCAAACCACAAGCTTCAAAATTGTGCATCATTTTTTTCTTTAGATAGAGTAAAATCTAAGAGAATTTCCTTCTGAATGATTTTAGTGTATTTAGACTATTTCATGAAATAATCACACTTTATTAACAGCTCAAGTTTAGTGAGTGCTTGTGATGCTCCTGGTACTGTCTGAGGTATTTTTATATGTATTAACTCATTTAATGCTCATAATAACTCCAAGAGGGAAGCACAGAGAATTAAAAAAAAATAGAAAAAATTGTACAAAACCAAAGAGTTAATAATTGGCTGAACAGGGCTATAAACCCAGATATTCTGGCTCCAGAGCCTGAACCCTTAACCTGTGTTCTGCTACCTCACCAAGAAAAAGCTTTTTGTTTCCCCTATTAAAGTGTTAACCCCTTGAGGGACAAAACAGTGATATTGTTTTATTTACGGGAAAGAAGGTGATACAAGGGTAGAGGGTCGGAGCTTTATATTCTTAGAACTGAGGACACTGTCTGGTAAGCATTAGCAAATATTTGTTGAGCTACTCCAGCCTTGAGTAGGTAACTAAAGAGTTTGGAATGTTTTTTCTAGAGGTCAGGGGTCAACAAACTTTTACTACACAGGGACAGATAGTAAATATTTTAGTTTTTTTTTTTTTTTGCAGTACATAAGGTTTCTGTTGCAGTTACTTATCTCTGCCTTTGTAGTTTAAAAGTGGTCATAAATAATCCTTAAATAAAAGAGAATGGTTATGTTCCAATAAAACTTTATTTACAAAGACAGGCAATGGACCATCTGGACCATGGGCTCTCTTTCCTACAGGAACAAATGAAACAAGAGGGGTAAAAAGAATAAAATTATAGTTTAAGGAGATATCTATGAATGACAATATAATGAAATGGAAAAGAACAAGGAGTTTCAATACTGGATTCAAAAATGACACCTCCCACCTTTTCCATAGTCATTCTAGAACAGTACTGTTCAAGAGAAATACAATGGAGGCCACAAATAAGATCCATGCACATAACTTTAAAATTTCCAGATGCCAAATTAAAAAAATTGAACAGGTAAATTACTTTTAGTAATATTCTATTTAGCCCAACATATCCAAAATACTGTCACCTTAAAATACAATCAATACAAAAATGACAGGTAGTTTACATGTCTGTGTCAATAAATCCTCAAAACCCACTATGCACTTTGTTCTTGCAACACATCCACTGGAATTAGCTTGATTTCAAATAGAGGATCGTCACAGGTGGTTCCCATAATGGACAAAAGAATGACCGACTGAATAACCTATAGACCTCCATATGCAGCTGCACTATATAATATTTTCATTTTACTGGCAACTCAATAAATCAGTCTTTATTTTTTGTATGTCATATTTCCACACCATTTACTTTCCACCTACATTTTCACACTTGGTCCTCCTAACAACAATGTGGGTAGGCTTCAACCAACCAGGCATATTACCTGTTTTACAAATGTGGAAACGAGGTTCAGAGAACTTCATAAGGTGAGAACTGAGACAAAATTGTAAACCTCTTCTAATCAAGTATCTCTACTTGAGCCTGTTAGCATCACCTCCCTAATCAAACTTACAATTTTGCATTCGTCGGTAAAACTGCCTTTATCTCCTCCCCTACACTGCAGACTCCACAAACACAAACACCCTTTTTCGTGATCACTGTATCCGCAGTGTCCTGCAAGGTGTTTTGCAAGTATGTAATATTAATCCAACTAACAAACGAATGAATGAAGTGTCTAGTTTCCCCGGCTGTTTGCAGTCGATTAAACACAACTAGTTTTCAGTGACTAACGTGAAGACAAGGACTAAACCACAGAAATGACATTTTTAAAGCTGAAGCTTAAATTGACTTCCAACATTATTCAAGACAATGTGGAATAAAATTTGGGAGCCAGGGCCTGAGTTCTAATGCCCTGAATTCAGTGGGAGCCTTCACAAAAATCGTCTCACCTGTCTGGCCAGAGTTGCTACCTGTCAAAAGGTGAGGGTAGTAGAGCTCTATAATCTCCAGCCCGTTCAAAGCTAAAGATTTTTGACATTAAATTCAGGAGGGCCGGACCCCAGATCTTCACACCCTTACTTCCGCGCCCTCAAACAACGGCCGGGCAGGCAAGCAACCATTAAGTCTCAGGGAGGCCGGGGGGACCCACTGGCCAGGGCCGCCATGTTTCCCTCTTGGCCCAACCCCAACGGCCACCCGCGGGCCCCGGGGGACGCGCCCTCACCTCTCCTCGCAGTCTTTGCATTTCACCTGCAACGGGACTATCTGCTGGAACAAAACCTGGCTCATGGTGGACTGTTGCCCCGGCTAGCTTGCCGAAGAGTCCAGCAGGCCCGGCCCGCGGTACACGGGTAAAAGGCGTCCGGGTCCTCCGCTCGAGTTTGAGTTTGGCGCTCGGCTTCCGCGGAGGAGGCGGGGAAAGAGAAACGGAGGGAAGCCGGGGAAGTGTGTACCTCGCCGGCCACCATCGGCTTCTTCCGGTTTTGCAAAGACTGGCGCGGTAGTTCCGGGCATTCACCTGAGTGGCGGATCCCGCGGCGGCCATATTTGTTAAGGGAATGGGACCCGCGGGAAGCTGCCAACTTTTCCTCTCTTCCCCTGTTCCTCGCCGCCTGAAGGGAGCCTTGAAGTATGGCGTCTTCTGTGCCCACGCCGCGCGCGACTGGCTTTCCGGCGGAGGGGCGATGCGGTTATTACGTGGAAAAGAAGAAGCGGTTCTGCAGGATGGTGGTGGCCACAGGGAAGAGGTTCTGTGGCGAACACGCCGGAGCCGCGGAGGTCTGGTATCGCTCTTCCCCTCTCGAGAGTCGGAAATAAGTTTTCTGGGCCGGCACCTCCCCGCTGACAGGTTTCTGCTGCTGTGCCCTGGATTTCCCAGCCTTTCCTTTAATAAACGCAGCTGTGCACCCCCTGGGAGCGATGCTGAGCACTAGTGAAGTGCAGTGTTTTACCAAGGAATGCAAGGCGAGGTTTCCCCTCCACGCCAAACTAGCATCTTTCACTCCGCCCACTCTCCCCTCCCTTCGGGGAAGGGATGGTTTAGGAAGAAGAATGGTAAAGAGGCTGAGATCTCTCTTGATTGTGCTCTAATCGTTTCGTGAACGATTATTGCTTCTCTCTAAGGCAGTTGAGGGAAACTTCAAACTTCAAATTTTACTTAAACGTAGTCTTTGGAAAGTCACTTGTAACTACTTTGCTGGAAAGGAGAAGGAAAGATGTAAAAAAAAAACAAACAGCCAAAACTTTAATCTACTTTTAAAATTGGTAGCAGAAAGGGTGCAACTTTGTTCATGACACCAGCTTTGTGCAGACACTAGCCAATGTCTGGAGATATTTGGGACACTTGGAACACTGAGAAGTGTTCTGGCTGTAACATGTGAGAACCAGAGATGTTGCTAAACCTCTTTTTCATGAACAAAGTATATGTAATTGTACTGGCAATCTATATTCTTTTTCTTTTTCTTTTTTTTTTTTTTTGAAGATTTATTTATTTATTTATGCATACAAGAGCTGGAGTGCAGGCCAGAGGTGTGGGAGGTGAGAGGATTCACCAGAGACAGAGTGGGGAACAGAACAGGCAGATTGACTGAAATATACTGCTAAGGGGAGCAGCAGGCAAGTCAGGAAAGGTCTGCTGCGCCATGTGGGTATCTCCCTGGCCGGGGATGGTACTCTTGCTGCAGAGGCTGGAGACAGCTACATAGGTTGCGTCTTAACCCCTTGCGCCAACAGGGAGGCCCTCAGTCTATATTCTTAATATAGGTATATTTCTTTAGAATATATGTAATAGGAAAAATAAGAACAAGAGAAGCAGGATCTTATAGAAAAAGAATAGTCAGACATCTGGTTTCATGACTGCTATTTACATTATTTATCTTTGTTAAGTCAGATGGTGCAGCCTTCTAGGGAATATCCAGTATGAGTCAGCCCGCACACCCCCTTCATCTGCTTGTATCCATCATAACCATAGCTTTGCTTCATATTTTATTTGACCCACCCTTGCCTAGAGTGAAGTGTATTGAAACATGCATTTTTGTGTTGTAGAGTGTGAGAGTACTGTGACTTACAGGGAGAACTCGTTGAAGTTCACCCACTGTTGTATTGACTGGTTTTAAGACCAGCAAACCTCTCTTGACTGAAAATAATATCTTTAATAGGAGAAGGATTTTGTCCTCACTCTATTATAAGCTGTTATACTTAACCTTCACCAGACAGCTGGAAGATGACTGCAGATGGTGACAGTAGTAAAGTATGAATAGGCCCTTACAATTCTGATTGGTGTTTGGTGACGAATAACGTCATGTTGTTACTAGTTCCTTGAAGAAAGAATGCAAAGCACGAAGTGGAAAAACACTTGTAATGAATATGACATAGTTTTCAATGTAAGCATCATACTGAATCTGTAATTTAAAATATAGTTGGGTGTTGTTTCCATCTTTTTTTCCCTAAATGTCATCTTTAGAGGAGTTTTACTCATTGGTTCTCCATTAAGGATGATTTTGCCTTCCAAGAGACACTAGCCAATGTTTGAAGATATTTGGGACACTTTGAACACTGAAGAGTGTTCCAGGATATAATGCGTAAAAAACAGAGATGATGCTAACCCTCTTACAATGCACAGGGCAATCCCCCATACAAAAGAATGATCTGGCCCAAATGTCCTAAGTGCCAAGGTTGAGAAAACCTGTTTCTAAACAAACAATAAATCCTAAAAGTGCTTTTCTCTCCACTCATTGATTAGGCTTCAGAGGATTCGGATATAGTCTTCTCTTTTGTGAAGGTTAGAGTTCAAAATAAGCAAATAAAAATAATGTATAGTATTTAAAAAAAAAAACCTGAAAAATCTCTTATCTTTCCCATAAAATCAAGCATACATACAGTTTCATGAGTAGTCAGGGAGGCAGATCAGAACTGAAATATATGGAGAAAGAACTTAGCTTTTATTGTATACCCAGAACTTCTTTAACTCTTAGCTCACTTAATTTTCACAAACCTTAGAAGGTAAGACATAATATTGCCATCTTTCAGATCAGATAGTAAGTGTACCTCAGGACTTAGAGTTAGGCATTGATAAAATTGAAAATCATATCTAGGCAGTCCAGCTGACTTGTGGTTTTAGCTATTATACTATCATGTTATATCAGATTTGTATGAATGTTGGATAGAATTGCCAACACTATTAATTTTCCTTTATTTTTTCCTTGTCCATATAGTTAAATCCATGTAACTTAGAAATGACCTCTTACATAATTGAAGCTTCAGGCCTTGTACAGAGTAATATTTCCTTATATATACATAAATCATTTGCATTGCAGATTTTTTTCTTAAATCCTATGATTTGGTTTTGCCAATGTTTTATTAGTATCCTTTCTTACCATGTTTGAGAAATGCATAAAATTATAATTACATTGAAATTATATCTAGTATTTGTAAGTAAGAACTTAATATTTTATTGAAATAAATATTTCTTTTCTTTGTTAGGAAGAAAATTGTCGGAAAAGAATCCTGTGTCCTTTAGATCCAAAACAGTAAGTATGGATCAGAGAAGGGAAACAATAATTGTCACAGGTTTATTTTAAATAATTTTTTGTGCTCGAAAAAGTAATTGTCATAAGTCTTATTTTAAATCATTTTCTCTTTAAATTTAGCACAGTATATGAAGACCAACTAGCAAGGCATTTGAAAAAATGTAACTCAAGAGAGAAGCCAAAACCCGTAAGTGTTTGATTAGTAAAATTGAATGGTGATATGTGTGGCATGCAGTGTTTATATGCACTTAGTAGATTACAAATATGAATATGAAGATTCTTTCTGCAGAAGACTTGAATATGGTAAATGCATTTGAGTATACATAAAGTATCAGACTGAATCCACTTATAGTCCTATTTCAGATCATAGAATTTTATGGAATGAAAGTGTTATTAGAGAATAATTTCAAAGTATACTTATATGAAAATATTTACTTGGTGTCTACTAAATTTACTTCAGTAAATTATGGTCCCAGACTTCAAGAAACTGATTGAGGCCAGTAAGTAAACTTGTGAATAGTGGGCATTATTTAATAAGGTCAATGAAAGAATTAGTATACATGTGAGAAGAGTACATATTTGCAGTAAAATTAAATCCAAGGGCATAGGAAAGACATCTCAGAAGGAATAACACTTGAACTGAGCCTTGGTTTAGAAAAAAATAAAAAGGATAAAAGAGTCATAGGTACATAGGTGGAAAGAACTACATATGCCAAGGCAGAAGCTTAGAAGCCACATGAGACCTTCAAGGAGCTTGAACTTTATTCTGTAAGATATGGAGAACCACTGAAAGAATTTAAGCTGGAGAAATATGTGTTCAGATATACCTTTAAAAACATTTTCTTATAGCAGTGTGGGAAGGTAGTGGTCAATCAGGAAGACTGATTTGTGCCTATTGCTTAAATTCAGGTGGGACATGATAAGAGATTTAAAGTGGATAGAAATGGTGGGGAATAAATACAAGAAATATCTATGTTATGGAATCAATAAAACCTAGTGACTGAATGGGGAGAAATTTGGATTTGGATCTGTGAGTCTGAAACTCAGAAGAGAGGTGAGCAAATAATCAAGATTTGGAAGTCAGATACATATATAGATGGAGCTTTGAATTTTTACGTTATCCAGCCTAAGAGAAGAGAAGACACTTTTTTATTTAATAGATATTTATTGAAAACTTATGCCAGGGCCTCCCCGGTGGCGCAGCAGTTGAGCACTGGGTTGCGAAGCTGCCCACAGCCTCTGCAGCACCGGTTCGATCCCCAGCTGCTCCCCAGCCACCGGCGGAGGGTCCCACATGGCATGCAGACCTCTCCTGCCGCCCGCTGCTCCCCTCAGCAGTGTACTTCGGTCCTTCTGCCTGCTCTGCTCCCCACTCTGGTGAATTCTCTCACCCTCCCGTGCTTCTGACTGTACCCAGTGCATGTATAAACAAAACAAACAAACAAATAAATAAATAAACAAAACATGCCTCTATTAAAATAAATAAATAAATAAATAAATGTTCTTTACATTAAAAAAAAAAAAGAAAGAAAACTTATGCCAAACATTGTACTAAATATTCTACTGAGTAGACAAATAATCTAGTGGGCGAGACAGAAAGTGCACTATTATGTGTGTTAAAATAGATTTAAGTATAGAGTACTATGAAAGACTAAGGATGGAGAGCCTAATCATCTTTTAAAATATAGGGGCAGGGGTTGAAAGGTGTGGGAGGCATTAGGGAGGCTTCTCTAAAGAAATGTCATAAGGTGCAACCTACAAGTCAAAGGAGAATCAGCCAGACAAGGAAGAAAACATGAAGTGAGAGAATACATAGCTGTATCTGGGACTGGGCATTTCACATGATCAGCGTATGGAATACAAGTGGAGAGTGAGTAGAAGATGAGACCTGACTGAGAGCTAGGAAGCCAAGCATGATCCAAGGTCAGAACTCTAGATGATACTGACATTAAAAAGTGAGCTGCTAATAGGAACCATAGAAAAACATTGAGAAGAGATGACTTCTTAGTAGGACAGTGAAAAATGAGAAAAGCATGGTGTAGGAGAAGCCAGAAGATGGAGAATAGCAAAGAGTGATCAATAGTGTCTTACACTAAAAGGGTATCAGGTGAGGTAGGAGCAGAAAAGAACCCGTTGAATTGGCAATATGGTGATAGTTAAAGAGCAAAGACTTCAGCAAAATGCATAGTTAATGGATTGGTGTGGGAATAAATCAGACTGGGATGATATATGAGTAAATGGAAAATAAGGCAGTAGAAATCACTGTTTTTTTTTAAAGATTTATTTATTTATTTTATACAAGAACCGGGGTACAGGCCAGATGCACGAGAGGGTGAGACAGAGACAGAGTGGGAAACAGAACAGGCAGAGTGACAAAATACACTGCTGAGGGGAGCAATGGGTGAGACAGGAGAGGTCTGCGTTGCCATGTGG